GGAGTGTAGTAAGCATCTCACTTAATCGCTGCAAACCTGGGTGGCGGGTGTGATGGTTCTGGTTTTGAAGGCAGTCACAGGCTTGCAGAGCCTACCCTGGCTCCTGATGCAACCGAGCTCTCCCTCGGCTCTGCCCCAGACTGCAGCCCTGTTTTGAATCTTGTCATCAGTGCTGTGGCCCTCAGGCTGCAGACCTCCCTCCCCTCGCTTCCCTCACAGTCCTGCCAGTGCACACCCCTCTACCCACACGCACGGGAAGGTGTTCCTCCCCACAGGGTTTTATAAGGGTGTCAGGGGACTGGGCACAGATCACAGAATCTGTGTGTCTCCAGGTGAGAAGGAGGGGCAGGTGTCCTTCCTCTGACCACAGGTAAATTCTTTGCCATGTAGCACGATGACAGCAAGGATTTTTCTTTTTTTTTAAGATTTCATTTATTTATTTGACAGAGAGAGAGAGAGAGGGAGAGAGATCACAAGTAGGCAGAGAGGCAGGCAGAGAGAGGGTGGGGGGGAAGAAGGCTCCCTGCTGAGCAGAGAGCCCGATGCAGGGCTCGATCCCAGGACCCTGGGATCATGACCTGAGCCGAATGGCAGAGGCTTAACCCACTGAGCCATCCAAGCACCCCTGGCACGAAGGGTTTTTGATAGGATTGCCTTTACCCTGTCCTTAGGAGAGCTGGGGAAAAGTCGCAGTCAGGGCGGCTAGGTGAACATCTGGATCTAGACTCTTCCCGGTCCCCTGTGCCCCTGGACCTTCAGTGCTGTGTGTGGGGAAAGCTTATGTTACTGGCTTGAATGACAAGTTTAAGTCTGAATCTTTCCTTTAACTCTGTAAGTATGTTGGACACTCAGGACCTAATTCCTAGCATTGGCACAGTCTTGGATTTCGTGGCCTGAAGCGCCCTCTGTCCTTGGTCTTGAAGGGCCCAGTGCCCTTGGGCAGCTGCCCCCGTGTCCTCTATTTGTTTTCTCTCTAACTTGCCTCTGCAGCTGGCACAGGCTTGTTTTTCCTCTCTCTTTGTACGAAGGTGACCTGAGGTCTTCCCTGGAAATGACATGGGTAGAATCACAGAGTAATTCTTCTGGCTCTTGAAATCTCACACCAAATAGTATGTGATCCGTGTGTTATTTCTCTGGTAAATGTCTAAAGGCTCTTTATTTTTAAACTAAAGAAATGTGTGTCATACAGAGCTTGATAATCACAACTGCAATTTTGGGATTTCTTTTTTAGTTTGCCAAGAGCAAAACTCATAACTAAAATGACAGTTTATGTGTTTGCTGAGCATTTTTAGTAGTCCCCAAATTCTTAGATTCAGTAATAGTGTGAATATTCTAAAAACATTACATTTAGAATGCCCTTAGTTTTTTGTGTGTTTCTCTTCTCCTCTTATTCTAAAGAAGACTTAGGGTAGCTTACATAAATACATAGAATTCTTTTTTTTTTTAAGATTTTATTTATTTATTTGACAGACAGAGATTACAAGTAGGCAGAGAGGCAGGCAGAGAGAAAGGAGGAAGCAGGCTCCCTGCTGAGCAGAGAGCCTGATGTGGGGCTCGATCCCAGGACTCTGAGATCATGACCTGAGCCAAAGGGAGAGGCTTTAACCCACTGAGCCACCCAGGCGCCCTTTTTTTTTTTTTTTAAGATTTTTCGAATTTATTTAAGAAAGAGAGAGAGAGGAAAAACAAATGAGATGAAGAGCAGAGGGAGAAGCAGGCTCCCCATTGAGCAGGGAGCCCGATGTGGGACTCAATCCCAGGACCTTGGAATCATGACCTGAGCTGAAGGCAAACGTTTAACCCACTGAACCATCCAGGTGTCCCACCAAATCTAGGACTTTTGACACTCATTTTGTGGAAGGCCTGACCTGCCCTGAAGTGAGGCTAACAAGCATCTCTCTTGACCCCTCATTTATTCATTTCACTGCAGAAATAGTAGAGCCTTTCGATAATAGCTTGGTACCCCAGACCTCATTTGAAAGTGGTATTCATTATGTGGCATGCCCACCGGATTGCCTTGCAAAATCTGAAAAGTTCTGAATTCCTGAAACCCATCGGGCCGCAGGTATTTGAATCAAGGCTTCCGGCCTCATCCCTTGAGTTCACAGGACAGGGCGCTGAGGTGTGCATCACCGGCCGGCCCAGCGCGGGTCTGGCCTGATAGCCCCAAGTGGCAACGCTCAGCGAGGGGAGCACAGGCAGCCTGACGGCGGGCCCTGGGCAGCTGGGAGGGATAATTACACGGTAGCTGCTGGAGGGCCGGGAACAAGCCAGAGACCCTCTGAGCAGGAGGAGCACAGTCAGTAAGGGTTGCTCAGAAGAACTGTGCCCTGTCCTCCTGGGTAGGTCCTGCAGCAGCAGAAACAGGGGCATCGATTTCATGATGCTCAACCGAGAACCCTTTCCTACCGAGCTTTCTTTGGCCCTCCTCCTGTTAGGTTTGCCGTTCAGAGAGCAGCGAGGAGTCTGTCAGTACACGTGGGCAGAGCAGGTGGGGAGAGTCAGAGCGGAGCTGGGGGGTAGCTTTGGGTTCAAGGACCAAAGTCACCACTGCTTAGTGCTTGACTTCAGCTTTGTGATGTGGGAAACAGGGACTCCACTCATGCATTCACTGACTCACTCACCATCTGTCCATCCATCCATCCATCTGTCCATCCATCCATCCGTCCATGGGTGCATTTGTCTAGTGAATATTTATGGCTTATGGCACACTAAATGCTAGGCCAGGGGCTGGGGGCCATGAAGGGAACACACGGGATAGTTATAGTGAAAATCCTTTAAAAATCACAGAACAAAAAATTACAAAATAAAACGAAACCCAGAGCTCCTGACCATTGTGTTTTACCTGTTACTTAGTATTCTGGGCACGTGTCAGCCCATAGCATTTCATCCTGTAGGACATCCTGCTTATTAGCTCCCTGTGGTCCAGGTCTCAGTAGTCCTACTTCGTACTTAAAGAGTGATGCACAGTGCATTTTTTTTTAAAGGTTTTATTCATTTATGAGAGAGAGCAAGTGAGGGAATGTGAGCAGGGGGAGGGGCAGAGGCAGAGGGAGAAGCAGACCTCCCTTCTGAGCAGGGAGCCCAACGTAGGGCTCCGTCCCAGGAGCTGGAGCTGGAGCACCCCGTGGCTGGGAGAACGTGGCTGTGCTCATGTGGCTGTGCTCATGACGACAGAGCCCTTACCTGGTAACCTTTCACCTCGGTCTGTTGAAATGGGAGCAAGGTGGTTTGTTAGAAAACCCAAGTGGGACTGGTTGGCCTGATCCAGGCAGGTGAGCATCCTAAGCCCAAAATGTAGAGATCACCTGTGCGCCTGCCTCCTTGGGCTCCAAGATGAGCGGATTGCTGAATGCGGGTTTAGTTGTATAAAGGGACCTTCTTTAGAGAGACAAGAGGCCTCTTCCATTCTGCTCACGTGTAAGGCAGGGCCGTCGGAGACCTTGCCTTTTGTCTTAGTGTGGACTCTTCCCTCATTCCACCGCTGAGGCCCAGAAGACTTGTTGGGAGGTGGACCTGGCTCTGGGCGAGGAGAGACACGACCAGCACACTCGTGCCTTTCCTCTTTTCTCTAGCTCATCAGATAACGTACCTTGCTCCCTCATGCCTTCTGGATTATTGTGGAGAATGTGAAAGGGACATCTGTGTTTTTCTCAAACTTATCATCATTATTTTAAACAAATAAAGTAATTTTGGTTCATCATATACACTTGGAAAATACAGAGAAAAGAAGGAAAATGAAGATCACATATCCCCTACCATTCATGTTTTAGCTGTGTCCTACCTATGTTGGTTGGTTGTCTGGCTACTTACTTATCTTTGGGTGGGGGGGCGTGTGGCAAAGGTACTTGTAGGTTAAATCTTTGCAAAATCGCGATTTAACTGTATCATCACAAACGTGCCTTTCCCGGCTGTAGACCATTTCACCGTGGCTGGCTTTTCCATGTTTGGACACTTCCAGTGCTCATCGGTTTTCACAGGTGTAAGTTCTGTGGCACAGAGTACTCTTGTTTGTTCACGATGACCCATACCTCAGCCTGCTTCATGGTGTGCTTTCTGGGCTCTGGAGGAATCAGGTCACTCTCTGAAGCCGGTTTGTGCATGTGAAGACTGGGTTCACCGTGTGGAAATTGTAGCAGAGATGACGTCAGTCATTTCTGTAGGGTCTAGGGCTCAAAATGGAAATAATTGTTACCACATTTAAGAAGTGCCTTTCTGTTTACATGCTTTGGGTTCCTGAAAATGCATGCTGTTCGAATCAGCCTTTAGCACTGGGGTTTTTGCCAGCAAAGCGGGGGTCACCCTCACCTAGCAGCTTGTAGTTGCCCACTCTGATCTGGGCTCTAATCGATAACAGTGCGTACCCTGTCAGATCTGATAGTTTATCTAGAGAGTCAGCAATGACCCTTCCCCGGGCCCAGGAAAGGACCCGTATTGGCCGGGATGTGCATGTCATGAGATTTTCTTTCCTGATGATGTTTTTTTTTCTTTGAAATAATGCTTTGTGATTATTAATGTTTATGGCTCCTTATTTGTGACTGTCAGAACAGTGGCCAGAGTGCCCCCTCCCTGGGTTGCAGCTGTCAGAAGTAGGTTTAGCCCTTTCAGAAAGCTCGCTGGTTCTCTGCCATTAACCTGAGGTGCCTTCTCATCGCTTCCCCACCGGGTCTGGGCTTCCTTCCCCTCTGCCGATTTCTTGCTGCTGTCCACTCTCCTCTGATGGGACAGGTTTCCTCTTCCTGATACTCAGTCCTGTGGGCCTCCTTGGCTGTGATGTGGACAGGTGTGAGCCCCCTTCTGCCCCTCAGCTCCCCCTTTGGGAATGTGAGCGCAGGTGTGTCCCCCCCCCCCCCCGCACTGCTCTGTGATGGTGGAGGTCCAGCTCTTGGCCACTGGAGACTGACCGTTCTCTGTGGGAGGCTCAGCAGAAGGCCGATTCACTGTCTGGTTTTGGAAATCAAAATGCCAAGGACTGCATGGATGTCTCTGTCCTTTTCTAGAAAAGAAGAAGCCAAGGAGGGACAGGCCATCCCGGGACTGGCGGGAGCGGAGGAACGCCATCCAGCTGACCAGCGAGCATACGGTGGAGACCCTGGTGGTGGCCGATGCCGACATGGTGCAGTACCACGGGGCAGAGGCCGCCCAGAGGTTCATTCTCACTGTCATGAACATGGTGAGTCTCCCATCGCCGTCCGGGATGAGGGCTGTGTCCTTGACTTTTCCCCAGGCTGGGGGATGGAGACACAGCACCGTCCCCCGAGGAGGGCCTGCCCTCCGGCGTACCTTCAGTGCTAGGGTCTGTGCCGTGGTTGACCTTCACCTGCCATTCTTACCAGTGGTTTGCCAAGACCTCTCCTCAGTGCTGGACCCCCTCCTGGCGGGGAGTCGAAGTTGAAGGAGTCAGTCCCTCTTCTAAGGAGTCAGCGGTTTAGTAGAAGGAATCAGGATCACACTTGAGTGTGATCAGCTCTTGCCGTGGGCCATGAGGGCTGGAGGAAAGTTGGAGCAGGAGAGGTTGTCTGGTTGTGGGTACAGGGAAGGAGCCACGAAGCCTGCGTCTACCTAGGATTTGATGAATGGGGATAGCAGGAAACCGTCACATTGACGGTGTGGGAAGGCAGGCGGGGTGACCTGGCTGCAGGAGGGAATGGGGGAGCCTGAGGGGGTGCGGGTGGACACTGGATGGGGCAGGTGGGGAGGGTGTCCTGAGGAGTGGGGCTGCTGAAAGGGGTGAGGGAGGCAGGAACCATCCCTGCAGCTGTGCTCAGCGGGGACTGGAGTGGGAAAAGGCGAGAAGGGGCATTGGAAATGGAGAGCATGGGGTGGGGAGAGGGGCTGAGCTGAGGGGCAGGCGTGAGGGTAGAGGAGGCCGCCATGTGGGGAGGAAGAAGTGCTGGCCCTGGTCTCTGAGAAGTACGTGTTCTTCATCTGTACAACCCCGAGTCCTCCTGGTGGCTGGTGAATGGCAGGTTGCTGGGCTGCCCAGAGGACACCCGGGAGGGGAGCTGCTGGGGCTGGCTCCACACCAGCCTCTTTCATCTGTAGCTCATTTCATTTCTTTGTTTTTTAATTGTCCAGAGTACCAGTGCCAGGAGGAACCACTCATTACGGCAGCTCAAGTAGTGATGAGGCAGAATTCCACTTTGATATTTGTTTCCACAATTCTGTGGTCAGGACGGGGGTAGCTATAGTACCACCAGTGGGCGGAGGGGGGTCCGTGGCGATGTTGCCCTCAAGCTGCCCATGGCTGTAACACTGAAGCACAGGGACCGAGTGGTCCCCAGACTTGGCTTTCACTCAGCGCTCTCCACACCCTTTCTGCTGCTTGGACAAAGAGGTTGGAGGCTCCAGATCCTGTTGCCGAGGGCAAATATGGGGCCAACCCCATTAAATGGGGATTTAGATGTTCCCTGATGAGGCCTACCCAGTGAGAGCGGGGCCACTGTGGCGAAGGGCCTCCGGTGTGTGTGCGCTAATACGGACCTCTCCGGTCACCTCCGGTCCACCTCTGGGTTTCTTGGCCAGTCCGATGAGGCCAGAAAGCAAACAAGAGCTGAGTCTGCTGACCGCACTTACACAGACTCTCAGCACGGGGAGCTGGTTTCTGTTGCTCTCGTGGTGGGGTTGCCATCCAGCAAGTTTAAAGACAAGCTGTGTGCGGACGTGGTACCTTCTTTCGAACAAGACCACCTTCCACCATTCTCATCCTCCAGGCCCTCAAACCCAAGTTTTGAAAATCCTGAGAATTCTGTTCTTCCTCTGGCTGTTGTAGCCAAGGGATTTCTGTTAGGAAGTAAGATCTTCTTTAAGCCAGGAGGATGAGAAGGGATTGTGGTCGGGCTCAGGAGCCCTGTCATTAGGTGTCCAGGTGCAGTGAGCAGGGAGGTGAAGTCAGCCAGCCCGGCTCTCTCCCATCAGGGGGTTGACTGTGGGCCCGCAGGACTGAACTGGCTCTGTTTCTCTAGCCTCGGTGGATTTGGAAAGGAATCTGCGGGCGCAGTTTCTGTCTTCCTTGCAACATACTCTCTGCAGGCTGCGGAAGGAGCGTCATTGGAAGCCGACATCCAGGCTCCCACGCCCTCCTGACTTTCTCACGTGGGCCTCTCTGGGTAGAGACCTGCCCGCCCGCGCTTGCCGCTCGGACTCTTGAGGCCAAATCTAGACAGACTCCTATCCCCAAGGCAAGCCTGGGCACTCGTAGGGCTTTGGTACACTTTCAAAGCTGGGCAAATTGGGTATCACGTGTTTGCTTACAATTTTCATAGTCTCTCCTGGGTCTGGGTGTGTGTGTGTGTGTGAATTAGATCACCAACCAGCGGCACGTGTCTGAGAGGAAGGAAAGGAGTGGACGTCTGCGATGAGTAGCTGGGTTATTTCTCCTCCTTCCCCTCCTCAGACCTGGTGGATTTCATTATACTTCCATCTTACAGAGAAGGAAATGGAAGCTTGCCAGGAGTGCCATCATCAGGGTGTGCAGCCAGTGAGCGAGTACAGGGCAGGGCAGGCACTCAGAGCCAGGGCTGAGGGACTCCTGTCTCACCTGTTCAAGGTCATGGGCCCATCTGGGGCCTGTTGTTTCTCTACATCTCTGCCCTGGACTGCCCATCATTATTGCAGACCCTGGTGACTGCTGGAGCTGCTTTCCTGGGTTCTTCACATTCACTTTCTCCCCTCTTGATTCCTTGCCACAGAATGGCCAGCAAGAGCTTCATCCGACAGAATTAGGACTTTGTTACTAAGCAGCCCTAAGCCCTTCTGTGGCTTCCCATGCACTTAACGGGGAATTTTTGCATGGCTCTGTTTTGCACGGCCCTCCCTGTTTTGCACGGCCCTGTCTAGCAGTGGAACTGGGCCCACCTGCTTCTCCTGGATTTGATTCCCTCCTCCATGTCAGTACTGAATTCCTGCCATGGGGGCCTCTTTCTCGGGCCTTCAAGCTCTTCTGTGACTCGTGGTCTTTCTTTGTCAGGAATGCTCTTCTCCCCGCTCCTTATCAAGCTAGCTTCTCTGTCTTTGAGGGCTGTAGGTCAGTGTCCCATCAGAGGGGCTCTCCTTACTGACCCCTCTGAAAAGGCCAGCCTGTTTTTTTAGCAGTCTGCTTTTGCACTCGGTCCTTATCTCAAGTTATAATGCCGTATTTATTTGCTTTTTAAGAGCCGTCTTGCTGTGGAGATTTTTTTATGCTACTGAATTTAAGCTGCTATAAATTCAAATTAGAGTATTATAATTTTAGAATGTTAAGTGTAGTCCCCATGGTAACCACAAAGAAAACAGCTACAAAATATACACAAAAGGAAATGAGAAAGGAGGGGCACCTGGGTGCCTTAGTCGACTAAGTGTCCAGTTCTTGATTTTGGCTCAGGTCATGATCTCAAGAGTTGTGAGACTGAGCCCTGCATTGGGCTCTGAGCTGGGCATTGAGGAACCTGCCAGACATTTTCTTTCTCCCTGTCTTTCTGCACCTCCCTCCTGTCTCTCTCTCTAAAGAAATATAGTAAAAGAAAAGAAAATGGGAAAGGAATTAAGTTTCAGTATAAAAAACTCAACTAAACACAAAAAATCAGTATGCAGCAAATGAGGAACAAAAAAAGGCTATAAAGCTTATTGAAAACAAATAGTAAAATACAGAAGTAAGTCCCTCCTTATCAGCAATTTTCTTAAATGTTAATGGATTGAATTCTCCAATCAAAAGATCAGTAGGATGGGGGTGCCTGGGTGGAAGGCAGTTAAGCATCTGCCTTCATCTCAGGTCATGATCTGAGAGTCCTAGGATCGGGCCCCATGTCAGGCTATCTGCTGAGCAGGGAGCCTGCTTCTCCCTTTCCCTTTCCCTTTGCCTGCTGCTCCCCCACTCATTCTTTCCCTACCCCACCCCCCTGTCAAATAAATAAAATTTTTAAAGATCAGGATGGATTAAAATACATATCCAATTATATGCTGTCTACAGGAGACTCACTTTAGATCCAAAGATACAAATAAATTGAAAACAAAGGGATGGAAAAAGATACCCCGTGCAAATAATAACCATAAGAAAGCAGAAGTGGCTATAGTAATATCACGCAAAATAGACTTTAATCAAAAAAAGAAACATACCATATATTTTAAAAGTTTTGGGGGTGCCTGGGTGGCTCAGTGGGTTGAGCCTCTGCCTTAGGCTTGGGTCGTGATCTTGGGGTCCTGGGATCGAGCCCCACATCAGACTCTCTGCTCGGCAGGGAGCTTGCTTCCCCCTCTCTCTCTGCCTGCCTCTCTGCCTACTTATGATCTCTCTCTCTGTCAAATAAATAAATAAATAAAATCTCTAAAAAAAGTTTTAATACAGCAAGAAAATGTAACAATTGTCAAGTCTTTTTACATCTAATAATAGACCATCAAACTATGTGAAGTAAAAATTGGTAGAAGTGAAGGGAGAAATACACAGTTGTGTAGTAATAGAGACTTACCCCCCTCCACTGTCAGTAGTGGTTAGGACAACTAGACAGAAAATAAGTAAGGGAATAGAGGACTTGGACAAACGTAATAAACCAACTCAATCTAGCAGATATACAGAGCCCTCAAAAACAACGGCGGAGTAGTCCTTACTTACAAGCATGCATGGGACATTCTCCAGGATATACTGTATCTTAGGGTACAGATTAAGTCTCAACATCATACAAAGTATCTTCTCCTGACCACAGTGGGGTTAAGAAAGAAATGAATAATGGAAGGAAAAATAGAAAATTGACAAATATGGGGAAATTAAACAGCATGCTCTAAATGCATGTGTCAAGGGAGAAGTAACAGGGGAAAAGAGAAAATGCATACAGATGCATAATAATGAAAACACATCAAAGCTTATGGAACACCACAAAAGTAGTACTCAGTGGGAAATGTAGAATTGTAAATGCTCACATTAGAAAAAAAAAAGAAAAAGATTTCAGATCAACAACCTTACTCTAAAACTTAGGGAACTAAGAGGAGAAGAACAAATTAAACTCAAAGCTAGCAGGAGGAGAAAATAGTAAAAGATGAAACAGAGATAAATAAAAAACCAGAAAATCAGTAGAGAAACTCAACAAAGCCAAGAGCTGATTCTTCAAAAGAATTAACAAAATCAACAAACCCGTGGCTAGCAGGACGAACTGAAGTTAAAACCAAAAGTGGGCACATGACTACCAATTCTATGGAAGTAAA